TTGTGCACATCCCACAACACACCATTGCCATATATTGTGTTGCCCTGCCCGTCGGTCATTCTTGTAGCGATGGACCACATCGAAGCAAAAGCGTCGTGGCCACCGTCAAGTCTGTCTGGTCGGTTTCCCACAACCTGCACCAACGTCATTCGAGCGCATACAGGGCCCACCAACGCCGCTCTCTTCAACAGTCGATCCGCCTACATCCTCAGCGCCTCATCCGACCGACAAGTACGTCTCTTCTCCACTCGTTCGCCTCCTCCATCCAGCATTGCCCGCGAATCAAGCTTGGGAATGATGGCAAAAGGGGGAAAAGTAGACGAAGGGATCAAGACGTACGATTCTGCCAATAATGCCGTCTTGGCATTAGCATTGGCACCTTCTGACAAGATCTTCGCTCAAGCTGGAATGGATCGTAGTGTGAATGTTGTGGATGTGCAGAGCGGTGGTGTGGTGAGAAGGTTCAACGCACATACAGGAGCCGTACACGCCCTGGCTTTTGCTGGTGCTGCTTCTTCTTCTTCTTCCACCAACAACAACAACAATCCGCGCCCACCCGGCTTGACAGGGGGAGATTCGCTCTTGCTCGCCGCTGGCTTTGATGCCAGGTGTCGCTTGTACGACCTAAGGGCTAGCGGTGCTTGGAAACCAATCATGGAGCTCAAAGAATCAAAGGACACGATCTTTTGTTTGGATGTGAGCGGAGAAATTTTCAGGACTGCTGGAATGGAAGGGGTGGTTAGGACGTACGATGCGAGGATGGGTCAGATGACAGAAGATGTAGTAGCCGGTGAGTTTGGCGTAAGGGTTCCCCTGCCATATTTTTCCCGCGATATTCGATCGATGCGGGTCCTTCCAAGCACGCGCAATCTCGCTCATGCTACGCACATTCATGCCCTTGCCTTGCAGCTCCTATCGTCTCGCTATCCTCTACACCGACATCTCTGCTCATCTCTACTTCTTCTCAGCGAAGAGCAGCTCATCATCTCCTCTCCACAAGCGACGGGACTTTGCAAAGGACCCTCATAGGTCACCAACAATCCAACCCCAAATTTCCCTTTCGATCCATCTTTGTGCGCCCTGTCAAGAACACCGCTGCTGCTGCTGCTGCTGACCCGATAGGAGTGCTGAGCGGCTCCGAGCAAGCGGGTCCGCTACTTTGGAAGCTGAACTCTCATTCGAGCGCAACGGCTGCTGCGACTCGCACTGCAGATGCACGAGAAGGAAATGTGGCAGAATATCCAACGGGCTCTGCTTGTTTGGGCGTGGATCAGGCTAGAGATGGCTCGTTGTGCACTTATCATCAAGATGGAACGATTCGTATTTGGCGAATGGACGACGACTCTTAGTGGAGCAGCTCGAGCATAGAGATGCGGTGCAAAGAATGATATACATCTCGAAAGTTTTCTAGCTTCGAAGGCATGCGGGATGGATGGGGTGGGCGTTTCTTGATTGTCTGCGAGAGCATGGCGCGCATTAGTCAAAATTGCGTAAACGCGCCTCATCTCTGTTACTCTCAAAGGCATGTCAAGTCCACTCCCAAGAGCTGGCAACCGAATCAGGTCTCCACCAGTTTTGCGCAACGCAAATGCAGCGTGGGCCATCCATCGCCCTTTCACCTTTCACAAAGTTGCATCCCCTTCCTTCCACATCGCTCGTCCAAGAAAAAAGGGCGCATTCATTCACCCCCCCCC